GCAGATGAAGTAATGGTTACATTGCTGGACTCCCATGTAATGGGTCATGGTGGAGTCCCAGACCCAGCAGCTTAGAAACTCACACCAAGCGCATGTGCATGCATGTCCAAAATCCCAAGAGGAGAATGGAGGAGAAGAGATTACAGTGTGATCATCCCCACTGGGTGGCGATTTCTCAGTTTCTGTCTCTCTCTGTCTCTCTGGCAAGGATATGCATGATATAGCAAAATTCTCTCTTAAAAAAATAGAAAAGGAAGAGAAAAAAATAAAATCTTTATAGAAATGAAGACTATATTCACAAAACAATGGAAAAGAGATTCTAAAGAAAACAAATATATGTTTTTGTTTGTTTTTCCATTTTGTTAGAAGGTGCACTCATTGGGACCAGCAGTTGGCGTAATGGCTATGTCACTGGATTCCCATAAAGTTGACCATGCAGTTCGAGTCTCAGACCCAGTGGCTTAAACTCACTCCAGGCACGTGTGCATGCATGCCCAAGATCCCAAGAGGAGAATGGAGGAGAAGGAATTGCGGTGTGGCCATCCCATGTGGGGGCTGATTTCTCGCTTTCTGTCTCTCTGTCTCTCTTTTTGATGAGCGCATGCGCCCTGTAGCAAAAACCTCTACCAAAAAAAAAAAAAAAAAAGAGAGAGAGAAGAAGGTGCACTCATCTGCCAGAAAGAGACAGACAGAGTGGGAGAGAGAAGAAAAATGAGAAAGCACTCCCCTGGAGTATAATTACACTACCATCCCTTTTTCCTTTCTCCCTCTTTTCAAGATTTTGAGCACGTATGCACAAACACCTGTCATGTTTCTCAAGCTGCTAGGTCTGGGACACAAATAATGCTGTTGACCATGTGAGAGGGCCAGCTGCCTTAACCACTAGGACAGGGGCTGGCTCCTGAAATCTTTTTCTTTTTTTTTTTTTTAAGTTTCTTTTTCTTTCTTTTATGAGAGAGTGACAGAGACAGAGACAGACAAGCTTTGATGAAGACCTCTGTGATATTCTCCTGAGTTCTCCAGTCAGCTACATTCAAAGGCATGCCTGCTGTATTCAGGGAGCTCTGGGAACTGAACAGGGACTTCCTATGAGGTTCCAATATCATGCGGTGATGCTCCTACTGCCTGTAGTAGGGCCCAAGACATATATTTGTTTTAATGTTGAGATATACAGTTGTCAGGATTGAGAACACTGAGCAAAGTGAGATAGTTTTAACAAAACTGAAAAGAATGGAAATGACACAATAGATATGGAAAACAAACTGAGAGGGCAGAACATAAGCATGAGTAGGATCCTAAAGGAAAGAAATGAAATACTCAGTTTAAAAACTACTTTTACCATTAAGAAGATGTTTCACAATTGAAAGACTTGAATTTTTTTTTTTTTTTTGGAGAGGTTTTTGCTCTGTAGCCAGACAGACAGACAGAGAGAGACAGAGAGACAGAAAGTGAGAAGTCACCCCCCAGGGGGGATGGCCACACCACAATTCCTTCTCCATTCTCCTCTCAGGATCTTGGGCACACACGCACATGCACCTGGTGTGAGTTTAAGCCACCGGGTCTGGGACGTGAACCGCGGTCGACTACGTGGGAGTCCAGTGACATAGCCATTACACTAACTGCTAGTCCTAAAGACTTGAATTTTATTCAGTAGTTTTTTATGTCTTTCCAGACTGAACTCAAGATTGGTCTTCCCCAGAAAGCCTTTTTGACTAACTCTACTCTAAACTTTATTTGTGCAGCATAAATTGGTCTATGCTATAATGTCCTTCGTCTCCAATTATTAAGCTGGTTTTTGTTGTTTATGTTTTTAGTTTGGATAATTAAGCAGTTTTATGAGGACTGGGGCTACATTTTTCTGCTTTTATGTCCCCTTTTGCATTTTGTTACAGACTTTGTACATTTGAGTCAGTTCAGTGTAAACAACAGAGCAAATATATGAAATGCAAATTTTCTTCATGCCTCAATGCAATGGTCTCTCGGTGCTGATTTGGCAGTTCAGTTCTGTTACTGAGGCTGCCAGTTAGTCCTCTGTTACTGATTTTCTGTTGCTCTCCTAAAGGTAAGTGAATAACTGAAGAAGGCCAAATATTTGATCAGGGCATTGAAAGATAAAATGTATATTTTCTTTTCTTTTTCCCTGTTGTCAAATATTCTAAGTCAATTAAAGGCGCAGGTACTGTCAAGACTGTTGGGTGGAGAGTGAGGTCACTGGAGTTCTAGCGCAGGGCTAATCAGTCACTCGCTTTGTGTGCTGGGTTCAGTCTCTCGATCTTTGTTCTGTTTTATCTTGGGGCTACAACTGTTTCTGCCTCATTATAGATACTTAATAATTATGTTTTAAATGACAGAACCATTACTCTCAGGGTCCTCCTATGTAAAATGAGGAGCTTGCACTGACATAGTCCCTAAGAACTGTTGGCACCATGAAGGTCTAAGAATGACTTGCTTTCCTCTGATTGGTAAGCATATATGCTATGCATTCTAGCTGCAGCAAGTGCAGACGCCTGTTGTTTTTATGGAAGACATGTCAGTCCCCATACGTGCTATATACACGTTCCACATAGATTTAGAATGTCCATCTTAACTTGCACAACTTTTGAGTACAGCAAGACAAGGAGTCCAGAGGGCACACTGAAGGATTCTTACAGGAAGCTTACAGCCTGTCTCCTTTGGCTAATTTGCAAAAGCATTTTTTGATTTAAAACAGAAGGAGGGCGAATCCCTGGGAGAAAACTCACATCCACTAATGTTCCTTCTGGAGTGAATTATGTGAGGAAGCCCCAGATGGATTATAGACGAAGGTTAAACTTTGAGACACTAATTTATTGAAAAGGTAAAGATAGTAAAAGAACAAAAAGTGCCCTCAATGCTATGTCTGTGTGTCCTTTTTGCCCCATGCTTTCCAGTATTTTAAGGATCTCTGAAAGGAATATGTTCATCTGTAGAGGCAATGTCAGCCAGCTGCCTAAAGAAAATCTTTCCCCCTTGGAAACTAGAGAAACGACATTCTAATTGGATTCTCTAATTAGACAGAAAATGGACAAACTTTAGAGAAGACATTTCATCTTGAAAAACAGCAAGGCTAATAGAGCTGTATGGAGACAATAGTATCAATGGACCCAGTGGTAACCTGGAAAAATATTTTTGTGTACAGTGATATTTAACACCCCATTTCATCAATTGAAAATGTCCTTTAGGTTCACATCTTAATATATCCAAAATAATTTTACAACTAATAAAGGCTTAGGATTGCTGTGGTGAGGTGAGAGAGAGGGCCGTTTGTCATCATGTGCACATAGGAGGACCTGGTTGTTACTCCTGGCGGTATAGTCCAGCAATCGAGACCCCTCAATATGCCTTCTAAAGGCCATTTCAAGAAGGAATCTGCATCTTGATTCTCTTCTGAAAAACTTCAGTTGAGGGGAACCAGCAGTTAGTGTAATGGCTATGTCGCTGGACTCCCATGTAGTCGACCGCTGTTCGAGTCCCGGACCCGGTGGCTTAAAACTCACGCCGGGCGCGTGTGCGTGCATGGCCAAGATCCCGAGAGGAGAATGGAGGAGAAGGGATTGCGGCGTGACCATCCCCCCTGGGGGGTGATTTCTCGATTTCTGTCTCTCTGTCTCTCTGTCTGTCTAGCGAGTGCACGCGCCCTATAGTGAAAAAAAATCTCTAAAAAAAAAAAAAAAACCACTTCAGTTGACACCACCTAGTAAGATCAAAAAAGCCCTTTCATCTAAAATTGCAAACTATGGGGCAGTGGTTTGGAAGAAAGTTTTGGATCCAATAATGGAGCATTCTTTTAAGAAATTTTGCATCAACAACATGCTTGAAGGCAGATGCAGAGGGAGACATATAAATCTTTATATATTTTTAAATTTCAATATTTTAGTATCTATTAATGATTTTATTTTTTCTCCCCATATTCTGACAAATAGGTCATGCATTCACAGAGCTCTCAACGCTTAAAAAGAAAAATATCCATACCTTTTGCAATATGACTTTTCATCAGGAATTGAAGTCTATTTTTCCAGTCCTTGAACCTGAGCTGACCTTGTAACCTACTTTGACCAGAGAAATAAAAAGCCAGTGATGGTGTCCTACTTCTGAAACTGGGCATTAAGTGGCCTTGCACATGTGTGCCCTCTATTAGAATGCTGTCATCACCATTAGAAAATCCTGGGATAGCATAATGGAACATGAGTGGCATGTGGAGAAGAGTTCAGTTGTCCTAGTAAGGTCATCCTAGCCTACGTTATAGTCAACCAACCTTTAAGCTTGTGAGAGATTTTAAGAACAGCAGAGCTAACTTACTTTAGATATAGCTGATTGAAGACATACAATTGAGCCCTGTTAAGAACAGAGCAATTGCCCACCTGACCTGTACACTCATAAGCTATAGAAATAATTACCCTTTAGGTCACTGAGATATGGGGTGATTTGTTACACAGCAATAGCTAACTGGTACACGAGGGGCAGCATATGCTCACACACTAAAGCAGGTCAGTCTGAAGTTCACATCAAGATGCTTTTTCTTATGGTGTTTTGAATCCTTTGAATCCCACATATCCATCTATTTCTGCATTTCTCAGGAGCAGAAGCACTGAAATTCTGTATGACAGGCTGCTCTTGAGATATTTTCAACTTAGTTGGAATCAGGATTTGCCAGAAATGTCGTGAGACAGCTTGTTTAAGTGAGATTTCCTGTTCAGTTTCTTTTTTTAAAGGAGAGGAGAAAAAGGAAAAAAAAGATAATGATTTTTGGATGGAGTTCATTTGTGCCGGACACATTTGGCCAAGTAGTTGAGGGGAACCGATGTGTAAGGATTTTCCAGTTCTTTAGAAACTTTGGTAAAGTCTTAACCCACCTGGGAATTCTTAAGATGGAATGTTTAAATTGTGATTCTAAATGAATAACACTGACATCACAAATTGTTTCCACGAGTCAGTCTCTGACTCTTTATGAGTGTTCTGTTTACAGATTGTTCTATCTTTCTGTGGCTCTTATTTTATAATTTATTTTTTTAAAGCTGGATATGATTTTTACCATCATGCTTGTTAATTATTAGATTGTCTCCATTTCTTTTCAGGCTCGCACTGAAAGGTGAGTTTTAGCCAACTTACTATTTGATTAATATTTTACATTTCAATTTTTCAATTCAAACCAGGGAACCGGAGTAGGGTATGAATAAAACTTAAGCTATAGGTGCACATTTAGAAAAAAGAAAGAGCAAAGGATGAATATGTATGAGGCTTATTTAAAATGCCATATTTATGAGGAGAGAAAAATATTGGAGCCTCACTTTCCCTTTACATATTTTCAAAACACCACATGGGATTGAATGGGACCAAGTGAAAAGTATAAAATTTGTTGAGTGAGGTGGGTGTTTGAGTGTGTCAGTGCAGTGAGAAATTGGCAATGTAAATCCTTTGGGGCTTATGGGTAGGAGGACACACAGAGGCCTTGGAAAAAGGGAAAGCATAGGTTCTCTCATGCCTGATTTTTCAATGGGACATTTGGCATGATGCTTACTGTCTTTCTGTGTCAGTTGATTTCATTCTGAGGCTGACTGCAGAGGCTGCACTTTCTCCTCGATGAGTCGGGACAGGGGCTTGCATTAGCCTTCAGTGTCTATGCTGCCTTTGTGCCTGCTTTATACCCACAGCAATGCCAAGTGCTGGTGAGTGAAAAGGAAGAAAAGGCCAGAGGAACTATTCATCTGTAGGGATTTTCTTTCAGCCAGCACTGATTTCACACACTGTTTCCAGGCCCATCTTAGGCACTGCTTGATTGGAGCAAGAAAGAAAGTGAAGGGGGCCGAACTCTTCTACACAACAATTCTGTGTATGATATCTAAACTATGAAAAATCACATGTTTCCACAAGGAATAAGGATGGGGAGGTGGTGTTCACGATGTCCTGCTGTTTTGAGGGAGTTCATACAGCAGTAAACATACATAATGTAGATTCATGTATCAACTTAGGAAAGTCTAATACACATGGTTGAATAAAATATTAAAAATCAACTTTAAGCTATGACTTACAGTGTATTATATACTCCTGGGTACCACCATAAACCTTCTTTTTTTTTTTTTTTGAGAGTTTTTTTGCTATAGGGTGCATGTGCTTGCCAGAAAGACAGAGAGACAGAGAGACAGAAAGTGAGAAATCACCCCCCCCCCGGGGGTGGGGGGGGCGGATTTCACGCAGCAGTCCCTTCTCCTCCATTCTCCTCTTGGGATCTTAGGCATGCATGCACACGTACTCGACATGAGTTTAAGCCACCAGGTCTGGGACTCCAACCGCAGTCGACTACATGAGAGTCCAGTGACATAGCCATTATGCCAAACTGCTGATTTTTTAAGCAAGATTTTTTTTTAAGTGAGATTTTTGTTATAGGGTGCCTAGGATATATACCTTCACTAGAGAGATTGAAAGAGACAGCGACAGAAAGTGAGAAATCAGAAGGGGTGGCCATACCACAATCCCTCTCCTCAAATCTGTTCTTGGGATTTGGGGCACTCATGCATATACACCCCGCATGAGTTTTAAGCCACGGGGTTCAGGACTGGAACCTCAGTCAGCCATGAGGGAGTCTAGCACCTTAACCACCATACAACCTGCTAGTCCCCATAAACCAACTTTTAAAAGCTACACATTTACACTTTTTAAGTATAAAAATAAACAGAATATGGTCTAGCAGGTAGCATAGAGTTTAAGGCACTAGATCCCACATAGCCAGCTTCTGTGGTTTGAGTCCTAGACCAGTGGCTTTAGAGTCACACCAGGCACATAGTATATGTATGTGTGTCCAAAATCCCAATAGGAGAGTGGAGGAGAAAGGATTGCAGCATGGCCACCCACTCTGGGAGGGGGGGGGTGATTTCTCACTTTCCCACAGTCTGTCTCTCTGGTGAGTGCATGTGCTCTATAGCAAAAACTTAAAAATATACATACATACATACATACATACATACATATATAGAACAGGATTGGGTAGCATGCACTGGTACATGGAAAGAGTCTAATCAGGAAGTACTTGAAGACCTTATTACTCTAACACATTTGCATATTAACTAAATAAAACAAGTATATCAAAAATAAGTAAATTATGGGCATAAACAAACTTATTTACCAACTTTCTCCTCCCTTGTATCATACATACCAACACAAGACATTCATCTTTGGGTTTCTTATTTTCTGGTTGGAGAAATAAAACTCAGAGAGAGATATTTGTGATATGATGTTTTCTTGATTTCCATTACATTTCCTTTTTGGTTTTCCTCCACCCTTCTGCTTTTTCCTTCCCATTTCTGATCTCTGTTCCTTCTCGATTCCATTAATATGGGTATTTCTCTAAGCTTTGTCTTTAAGTCCCTCACCTTCTTTCTGGAAATTTTCACCCATGCCCGCACAATCAAAGATAACCACTAACAGAATGACTTTCATAGCTTTTGTTTCCATCTTCACTTTCCTCTGTCTATTGGACATCTCTTCTTGCATGCCTGCCTTCATTTTTGGCTTAGTTTTTCTGAAGTGAAAATCATTTCCCCCCCCTACCTTCAATATGTTCCTCATTCTGACTTCTTGGTTGTTGCCAAAGACACTGCTATTCTCCAGTCTCCAGACTTAGGAGTCTAAAATACTCAGTAAGTCCTTCTTCTCTCTCTTACTTACCATTTGCAATGTCCCATCCAGTCTTCCTTTCTGATGTCTTTTGTGTCCATGATTTCATCTCTGTCTTAGTTCAGCCTTCGATAACAAATAGACTGGGTTACTTAAATAAGAAGTATTTATTTCTCACAGAGCTGGAGCCTGGAAGTCTGAATGCATGGTGCCAGCATGCTTGGGTTCTAGTGAGGGCTCTCTTCCAGGTGGCAGACTGCTGGCTTTCCCTCATGTCCTCACATAGCTGAGAGCAGAAAGAAGAAATGCAAGCTCTCTCCTTTCCTTTATAAGAGCATTAATCACTTCATGAGAGCTTTAGCTTCATGACCTGATTAACTCCCAGAGGCCTCACCATCACATATATCACACTGGGGGTTTGGCTTTACACATTTGAAATTTAGGGGGAACCCAAATAGCCTTTTTTTTTTTTTCTTTTTTGAGTGGTTTTTGCTATAGGGCTCATGCGTTCTCCAGAAGGACAGAGAGAGACAGAAAGTGAGAAATCACCACCTCCCAGAGGGGGGGTGGGATGGCCACACTGCAATCCCTTCTCCTCCATTCTCCTCTCGGGATCTTGGGCACACATGCACACACACCCAGTGTGAGTTTAAGCCACACGTCCGTGACTCGAACTGTGGTTGACTACATGGGACTCAAGCAACATAGCCATTACGCCAACTGCTAATCCCAGCACAAATAGTCTTGAATCATCTCCATTTGTACACTTCCTTATTGTACTCTCACAACAAAACCAGAGTGGAATATTAAGCTCTTAATACTCTTCCAGTAACTGATGATCTCTAAAAGTTTATCTACCCGTTTTGCCTAGTTTGTGATTGTTATTTTGGTTTGAATTACCTAGTTACTGCTTTCTCCCTCTTACTTATTACTAAATCACCAAACTTTACCAAGTACCAACTTTACAATAAGCCATGGAAGATATACTATATGCAGAAGACATGGACTCTCCTTTTGAAGAACTAATTGATAAAAGAAGTTATCAATACATATAAAAATTGTAGCAAATTTCATAGCAGCACAAGAATATTTCTGAAACACAGTGGAAACTAAATCTATCATGCTGTCCCCACTTCTTTTCTTCCACAATTACCATCCACTATGTTCCATCACTAATCTGGGATCTGGGAATGTGGAGTAAGTCAGGCAATGCTTCTTGTTTGACTTCTGTTTAAGTGCCAGAAAATAAATACTAAATAGGTGGTAAGAAAATAATTAAAATAATTTCTGATAGTTAAAAATACTATATGAAAAATATAATAATACATACAAGGTGATATACAGTGGCCTGAACATCATGCTGGGCACATGTGCATGCATAGCTCAAAATCCCAAAAGGAAAATGGAGAAGGGATTGTGGTGTGACCATCCCCCTTGGAGGTTGCTTTCTTGCTTTCTGTATCTCTCTGTCCATCTCTATCTCTGATGAGTCCATGCGTCCACTGGCAAAAATATAAAATAAAATAAAAATGGTTAAAGAAACTGGGTTATATTGAATACCATGGGTTAAAGAGAGATAAATAATTAGGAATCTAAGGCAGGACCTGTGTGAGGTAATAAAGTTATTATTAGAGGGAAATTTCACAAATGGCCTATTCATAACTCAAGCATTTCTGATCAGAGAGATTATGAAATAGATTCTCTATACACTCCTCATCCTCTGAGACCTCCCACACATTTCTATGGAGTGGCATTTAAATCAGTGGATAAGTAAGGAAAAGGAAAGGGAATTTACTAGGGAAGGGAACAGGTAAGTGAATCAACATTTTCTTAATTGGTTTCCAGAGGCATTTGTCTATTCGAGAATGAGATGTTTGATATTCTGGTTGAGTAAGTTCTTGATTCCAGGTTATCAATTATGATAATAGAACAAATCAAAAAGTTTTCAGCAAACAGAAATTCTTCATTTCCTGGCTCCTACTCAACTTTATTGATTGAACCATAGGGTAATACTATAAATTGCATGTAGAAATGCTGGAAAAGCTTTTGGCTAGGCCATTTGCTCTAATTTCAAAAATGTTTGCAGGTGCCTGAGGTAATTTGGATCATTCATCCCACCCTTTCCTCTGTCTAAAAACAGAGACAACAGCTGACCTGAAGTATCCCAAAAGAATTGGGTATCCGCAACCCTCATTTTCTTCTAAAATACCCTCTACTCTCTTCTAAAATACTTAAATGCTTATTATTGGTATCCCTACCTTAATGTTATAAAATATAGGGACCAGCAAATGGTGTATTGGGCACATTGCTGGACTCCTACATAGTTGACCTCAGTTTTAGTCCCAGACTCCGCTGCTTAAACCTCATGTGGGGCACATGTGTGTGAGTACCCAAAATCCCAAGAGGAGAATGGAGAAGAGAGTGTGATGTGGCCATCCCCTCTAGGGAGTGATTTCTCACTTTCTCTGTCTCTGTCTCTCTCTGCTTCTCTAGTGAGCTCATGCACTGTATAACAAAAATCTCCCTTAATAAAAAAAAGTTATAAAACATAGACTCCTTCTTAAATAAATATGTTTCCAAAAGCAGAGGGAGGGTCCACTCATCTTTATAAACAGATTTATATTAATACTTAAGGTGAGACAATATGAATTATTGGAAATTATAGATTTGAAGCCGAAGACCTGTGTCCAAGGCTTAACTTCTCCTTTCCTAAACTGTATGTCTTGGCAAATTGCTTCATTTTTGTGAACCACAGTTTTCTCTTCTGCAAAGGCTCAACTTTATCTGAGATTTCAATGAGTATGTGTTGTAGCTTTATAAACATTAAAATATCAAATAAATGTAAACTATTGTAAATGCTATCAACAGATTAGCAGAGATTCATTTTTAAGATAAACTTTATCATCATTGTGGAAGATATTGAAACTCAGAAAGGATTTTTATGCAGTAATGATCTCTGGGTAAATTTGGAATATAATCAAAATAATGTTTAGTGTTTCTTACTGTGTGCTGGAGAAGACTCAACATGCCTTATATATATTTCAATGCACCCTCACAGCAGCCTTATGAGTAGTTACACACAAAAATCAATGACAAATGAGGGTTACATAAGTTAATTTACTCTTAAGGTGACTTATTAGTAACTAGTAGAGGTCTTCAAAGTTTGAGTACTTAGTATTCAGTAACTCTACTTTACCCTCAACACAGTGCACAAATGCTTTGTTTTAGAAGGAAGCTAGCGTTGTAACATCTGAGAAATTAGAAGTCAAGACAAGTATCTATTGATGGTGAAGGAGAGGGATAAGAAAAAAGTGCTCACTTGAAAAGAGTACATTGGAAGATAAACTTATATGCTTATATTTTTATTGCTTGGAGGTATCACTTTATAGAATCATTTTTTTCAGTTTTAGTCTTCTTGTATTATATATTGAATTACTGTGAATGTAAAGATACCTCTAAATCTCCATTTTCTCCAGTAATTCCCCCTTCATCTCCATTCTGTGACCTACACCCAGCAGGACAAAATGAATTTCCTTACCTTCCCTATCTCTATTCTCCTACACAATTACCAAGTTTTAACTGAGGCATTCGCATTTTACTACTAACACTCTAACCTGCCTCTTACAGAGATAATTTTCCTAAGAACCAGAGGTGGTATTTTTCTCAAATTTCATTTCAGATATGAGCTCAAGACTGGTAACAGACTGGCTAATTGATAAATATTCATAGATGGCTTGTATTAAAGAGGTTGAGACCCAGAGCATCAATGTCACTTATTTTATACCAAATATTTGATTTATATTTGCCTGTTGACTGAATTCTTTTCATCCATTAAATCTTAGAATCTTATATATTATTGAATGAAATGGGGAGAAAAGGTAAGATCAAAGAATATTTCTGACTCCTGAAATATGGAGTCTTTGGACATCTTGGGTGGTATATCTCTCCTTGGATGACTGATCAGACACTACCTTCAGTAAGTATTTTCCCTCTTAAAAGTAGCTTGTTCTTGAACAATAAGTATTAGTAGTCTCTCCTATAAATCTTTCTTTAATATATTTAGCAGAAACAAGTTCTCATTGAGTCAAATTTATCCCTGTTTGGGCAGTATCTCCTTGTTCTGGCATCCTAAAGAATGTCATGTCTTTCCCACTAATTATCACACCTGCATTAGAGTTCTCTTCTCCACATATGAGAAACCTATCACTTTGACTGTTTGGACGGTACATTTTTGAGAGACAGATATCATGTCTTTTTAAGGTCACGTCTTCAAAGAGGTTTCCAATCCTGCTCATCCTGTAAAGTTCAGTGCAAGTCCAAGTTCCTTTAGCAAAGTTGTTTTGAAATACTTCTGCCTAAACACACATATCCTCCTTCTATAAATTTTTCTTGTATTTTAAATCAGTACTATTTGCTTCATGGTCTTAGTTATTTGATGTGTTTTATCTTCCAAATAATGATTTCAACTCCTTTAAGATAAAGGCCAGGGGTTGACTTTTCTATGCATTTCTTGCAGTGCCTAACCAACGTTTGGGGGAAGAGTATTCATTTTTCAGTAAATTATGATGAATGAATTGCATGCATACATGCATGAATGGATGAATTTTTCTCCTTGTGACTACATAGCAGTGTGGCATTTATAATTTCTCTCCTGGCATTTCAGTTGGGTTAGTAGCTTTTTATTGGATAATCACTGCACAGATGATTTCTATATCTCTCGACCCATATTTAAAATGTCTAAATTAGAGAGCAGAATGGCTACAGAAACCTCTTTCCTTTTCTTGCGAAAACCCAGATTCTTGCATCCTCCACCTGTGCCTGAGAATCTGCCCTCTCTATCTAATAAAAATGATTGAAAAGCACCTTGAAAATACGAAGTGCCATATAAATGCTAACTGAGGCAATAATAATAACTGAGGCATACATACATGAATAGTTGAATTTTTTGGTTATCTCATGTGGGCTGATTGTTTAGAAAATAAATAGACATGGGAGGCAATGGGAAAGGACTACACAACTTCTGCACATCATAGCTCAGGACCTTATGTTGTTGTCTCTGAAGTAAACTGCAGATGTGATTAGCCCTGGGTCAAGTCCTCTCAAGTAATTGGTTCAGTGTGGCCCCAGATAAATTGTCAGCTAGCGTGATGGGAGTTGAGAGACTATGGGGATTCCCCTTGTCATGAACTTATCCTATATCTCTATACCCCTTTCTGAGGAGAAAGATGAGATCAGAAATAGAGAAGATGAGACTAAAGGCAGCCTTTATAGGAGATGGGAGAAGAAAGGAATCCAGAATATAAAATGCAGACCTAGAAGTGAATATCTGTAAGCGATGAAGAGAGTATTCTAGGGGAAGCTGTCACTCCAATAATCCTGCCAGTTAGAGAGGCTGTATAGTGCACACTTGGCTGTAACAAGGAAGGGAGACTCAGGTAAGAGAAAGATGGCGTTTTCCCCTCCCAATGGACTATTACAGACACAGTTTCCTTTTTTGGCCTTTCTTTGTTGGCTCAGGCCTCATCGTTCTATCCTTGGTCTTTTTCTCTTTTCTCTACTGAGTCCAAACAAAACTGTTCTCTTCACTTTGTCTCCTCTGCCAACACTATGGTCTACCTCTAGACACATAGGCAACTCACACTCCTTATCCAAAAGGATTAATTATCTTAAACTTCTCCAGTGGAGTTCTTTCTCTGACTTTCTCCCTGAAGTTTCCCTGTCAGTTGATCAGAATATACTTGTCATTCTTAATCCCCGCCCCCTTCTGTGTCCTATGTCTAGTCAGCGAATGATGAGTCATGGTTCTCTAGAGAAACAACTAATAGAAGAGATATATGTAGGTTGGCTTATGTAATGATGGAGGCTAAGAAGTCCCATGATCAGCTGCCTGAAAACCAGAGACCCAGGAAAACTGACGGTATGGTATATCTCAAAGACCTGACAACTAGGAGCACTAATGGCTGGAGAAGATCCATGTCCCAGTTTAGTCAGGCAAAGAGCAGATTCAACCTTCCTCCACATTTTTTGTTGTTGTAATTCTTCTGTTCATGTTCTCAACAGATTGGATGGCATTCTCTCATATTGGAGAGGGCCATATGCTTTCTTCGATTCAGTTCAAATGCTAATTTTTTTCTAGTAACATTTTCACAGACACACCCAGAAATAATGTTTAACCACATATCTGGACTTGTAAGTACTTTGGTCAAATAGGTGGGGAAAAGTGAGATCAACACAGTGACCAAGACCTCTGATATATTTTATGTTCATCCCTTTCTCCTCCATTATCAGTGTTACTCCCAAAGATCAATACTTTACCCTCCCCCCAAAAAAAGATATAGAAAAGAAAAGAAAGAAAGAAAAAGGAAAGGCATGTTCTGTTCTGAGTTTACCTCTATGGTTTACTTCTAGGTCTATGTCCTGGAGAAGGAAAATTTTAGGTTGGGGCCTTCTTCTTGGGTTGGGAAGGATGATCTCAGAAAGAAGCTGAGTTTAAACAACACTCCTTCTAGACAATTAAATATACAAAAGTAGACTTTCAGTTAGTATCATAAATATCTTCCAGACCTGGTATCAGAGATATAAGGATTTTGTACTATATGATCATATTTGTGGGTTTGAGTGGCTTATTATTTTTTGAAATGCTCTTATCTGTTTTCCTGAATTATTAGCAATGCAACCCTCTTGAGGAAAGGACTCGAATGCTTATCTTCAGTGCCAGTAAGAAAGTGGGATGCTGGGAGGAATGTTGAGGATGTACCAGTCTGGGGAAGAAGAAGTCCAAGGAAGAGAATGAGCTGTGGCAGCTACTAAAAACAGGGAGGAGCAGAAACATCCTGCCCCTGAAATCTCCTACCTTCAATGATAAACGTACATGGCAGGAGCAAAGTCCATGGTCATCTAGGACAGTGGCCACTGTTGAGTATCTTATCCTTGCATATAAGCACTTTACATATGCTATCTCTAGTGTACATTTTAACTCTTCGGTTAGGCATACTTACTCCCTTAATACAGATGAGAAGACTGAGCATCAGTGGTATAGCAGATAGCTATTATTTTCCCACAGCCAAAGTCCCTTCCCTCATTTCTGTTCCAACCAGTCTTTTTTCATCGATGAGGCTTTCAGTTGCCCAGCCCTGCCTCTCCTTCCCAAATCTAAAAGTGGGATACTGGTTGACCGATCGAACTAATCCATTCATTTGGTGAGGCTTCCAAGGTGGTTGTGTTATCCAGATGATCGAAGTTGTTTTTTAGGGATTGACAGGGCCACTTTGACGAACACAGTGGTTCTCCTCCTAAGAGATGAGCACATAGTACCAGGTAGGCCCAGAGATTCTCATGGCTATCTTTGAAGAATAAACCTGCTTAGATTAAAACCAGAAAAAGCAGAGCCAAGGGAGAGAGAGAGGCAGAATGGCAGCTATGGAGAGATTGAGGCAGTGATGAGGCTCCCTAAAAATGGTCATCCTGGTTTAGGTTTTCACCCAAACATTAACTTCTCTGACTAATCACTAAAAGACAGATCCTCTTGTTCTGACTGGTCCTATACTATTTTTCTCCAGAGCACTTATCATTCTGTCATATTATTTATTTAGAGATTTGTATATTTTTTTTCACTGTTGTGTCTTCAGCACCTAGACCAACTCCTGACCTAGAGTGCCTTTGGCCAGTATTTATGGAGTGAATAAATGAGTCATTTGAATAAGTGGGTCCAGGTTCTAATTAAAGCTGTACCCCCATTCCTTGGATTTCCCAGTCACATAGCCAGCACGGTCTCTTTTCTGCATATGCAAATTCGAGATGAATTTTGCTATGTGGTAATAAGAGGTAGAATGCTGTGTCCACAGTCTCATATCCGGTATGTGGGGAATTCAGGGGTGAACCCGGGTCTCACAGACCTCAAACCATTGCTTTTCTGGATGGCAGTCTCCCCTGAAGCATGATTAATTTTCTTCCTGACACCTCAGCTTCCGGGACTGTGACAGGTACTTTTCTCCCAGCAGCTGACACATTGGGCATCTGGGGAGGGGAAAGGGGTCAAAAAGTAAGACTTGAGGGAACCAGCAGTTAGCGTAATGGCTATGTCGCTGGATTCCCACGTAGTCGACCGTGGTTCGCGTCCTGGACCCGGTGGCTTAAAACTCACGCCGGGCGTGTGTGCATGCGTGCCCAAGATCCCGAGAGGAGAATGGAGGAGAAGGGATTGCGGCGTGACCATCCCTCCTGGGGGGTGATTTCTCGCTTTCTGTCTCTATGTCTCTCTCTGTCTGGTGAGTGCACGCGCCCTATAGCAAAAATCTCTCCAAAAAAAAAAAATAAGTAAGACTTGAGAGCTCAGAAATCATTGTACTTTGAGAAGAGTCAGGATATGATGTTTTCCTATGATTTCCTTTTGTCCAAACTGGCCTAATTAATTACTCTTTTACTAGGACCAAACTTTAGCTGAGGTTGAGTCTGAGGAATAAAAAGAAAAAAGGAAAAAAAAGAAAGAAAATCTAAAGAGTGGCTGCACAGTTCGAATCTGGGACTCAGTGGCTTGAGAAACATGCCAAGTGCATGTGTACCCAAAATCCCAGGAGGAGAAATGGATGAAGAGAGATCACAATGTGATCATCCACCATGGGGGCTGGGGAGTGCTTTTTCACTTTTTCCTTCTCTTTCTGTTTCTCTCCCTGTCTCTGGTGAGTGCACATGCCCTCTACCAAATATATATATATATATGCATATATATATATATATAATAATGAGATAAAAATAGATAATCTACAGATTCCCAGGTTCAAGGAGGTCTGTGATGACCATGAGAATTCTATACTCTCTCTGTAGTGGAGAGAGAAAAGGCAGGCATGGCCTACCCTTGCAGATGCTGGGTATGAGAAAACATAGATTATTCCATATACATTTGAAATAAAATATATGACTAAACTAAATTTTAGTTATGGATATTGATTTTATTGACTAAAACCTCCTCCTTACAAA